GCGAGATTGACGGGACTACATAGGCGTCGGATCAGATGTAGGTAGGGCAGAATTAAAAAAAATCAAAATCAAAGTAAAATAATAAAATAAAAGGGCATTAATAACAAAAGTAATAAAATTAAAATAAGTTTATAGCCACAATAATTAAAGCACGTACACTACATCAGATTTTAATCAGATTGGATCTACTCGACCCACTGAGCGGATTTCATCGCTATCAAATAAACACCTGGGTATACGTTAATTCTAATACTTGAAGAACGGTCAGTTCTGCAAAATATAGTCCACCAGGCAGTAAAAACACACACCCTATTAAAATACGTACCAATCTGTAGCTCAAATTTATATTTCATAAATATAATTGACTTGTTTCTTCCGGTCCATGTTAAACCATTAAAACAACTTTCTGTCGCAGGGGGCGTCATCAAGAACAATCATTGGCTTGTTCATGTCGGTTCATGTCCTCAATCGACTAGAAATCGACTTGAACTAATTGTTCACTTTTGACTTTCTGATGTGTTACAGCTTGAAGGTAAATTGCCAGTATCACTCCTACTTACATTAATACATGCCAGTGGAGTGAAAGGTAAGGTGACTTACTCCAACGGTCATTTTCCGGGAACAAATGCACTTGAAGAATATTTCTCCCTAAATGCACAGTCGTGTAATGACTAAATATGAGTAAATCAAATAATTGGAAAATTTTAATTGAATAATGTTATAGATATCGGACTTTATAATTTGTCAATTTCATGTACAGAGTGTCAAAAGTCAGACCTCTGCTCCCCTTTAAAAAGTGTGTTGGTGAAATAAAAACAAGTGTTTCGGAAGATCGTCGCTGTCTGTGGTGGCGCTATTTTCAACTACTCCCGGCATTCCTAATTCATGATGGCGACCTGTTTGCTTCAATTTTGAAACTTCGTCAGGTCATAGAACATATTCTAAACAGCTGAGAAGGTGTGTGAAGTTGTACATGGCTGTTTATCCATGTTGTGCGGCAAGTCAATTCTAGTCATGGTTTCGTGTCGTTTTGAGTCCGGATTACCGATATGTCCAGTGATTCGTCTGTCAGTATGCGCGACATAGCAGCGTTTGTATATGGACGCCACTATGATGTCGAGCATACTGAACGACGAAACAAACGACCCAAAAACGACGCAAAACCACGGCTAGGCCCATTACAGACACTGCATTTTTTTTCATTCCAGACACTGCCAATTTTTGTAATCACAGTCTACACTGTACTTTCTGTGACATGTGTGTCAGTGAGGACAAACAATAGACAAAACATACATATTTGTATTGACTAAAACAAGATTGTTGTTTACAATTTTTATCGAAGTTATGTGTAAACATGTATATACAATGATGGATTGAGTCATTTGTACAGCGGTGAAATGGGCAGTTTTAAAGTTATGTGTAATGTATTATAGCATTGTGAAAACTGATTCATTCATGGTTGGACTATTTTCATGTCCCAGAAACGGTGGGTTATTCACCCCAACCCGCCCATTAATCATGTCTCATCTATTAACCAACTTTGACAGCAGAAATTGCGCAAAACGTAGAATATTCTGAAAGACAGACCAGAACAGGAAGTCAGTAGAAGACAAGTTGGTTAGCATGGTGGAAAACAGGTGTTAATCTGAAAATTCATTGTCTATTCTTGTTTGTGATTAGTCCTGGCAATGTTTGAGGGGATCATGACGTGAATTATTGTAACATTATTGTTGATAGCAAACTGTACAGGAATGTGTTGTTTTGGCCTTGCAGAGCTATCTATACTGTCAATAACAGCCACTATTGTTTGTGTTACAATCAAACACCATTCTAACATTTGGACAATCCCTTTACTGTACTGTACATTGGCGGATTTAGATGGGGGCCTATTTTTAACAACCAACAGGGCTTCGCGCCATCGGCCTTACTTGGCCTTAGACCAACTTATCGGCCCTCCCTATTCCTGGATCCACCCCTGCTGTACAAATGTATTGTGAATGCAAATTTACTAGTTGTTCTGTGGTTTGGAAATGGGATAACTTGTATGTAATTGGCAATGAACATCAATACGTGTAATCTGCGGACATTAAGTTATTAGTTGATGTGCGAGTTGAACTGAATTCAAGATAGTGCTATACTGCTTAAAGTGACTCAAAACAAACATTTTGGGTTAAACTATTTTCAGTCTGTTGTCATGATTGGACTATCTCACTTTGTGCAGCGACAAACAAAATTGCGCTGATCATACCTGGAAGTGCACCGTTCAAACTATTAGAGTATTTAATTGTTCCCCTATACTTCCCTATATTAGTGTTATCTGAAGAGTTCTGACTTGGGTATCTATTATTTATAGGGTGACTCGCCCTGTGGCATCTGTATCTCTGTAACTAAATAATTAAATGAATGAGTGACTGTCTAAACAAATAAATTAAAAAAAATAACTGCATGTACTTGGGTTGAAAAAGGTAGATAGATAGTTGGAGTAAAGTACAGTTAGATGTTGAGGGCATAGTTCAAGGCTTGTATTATTGATAAGATTAATTGCTTCCATATTGCACTTGAATGAAACAGGAACTTATACCAAAGAAATGTGGACTTCTGGTACTTATTAATATTATTCAAACAGTTTCAATTTCCAGTTTCTTAAAATCATTCACTTTATGATGAGATTTTATGAATCTTCTTAGCCGTTCTTGTGCAGGATGACAGCAAATAGATATAATTTCAATATAGCAATTACTATTATTATCATGTGCGTATCGTTTTCCACGTTTGGGTCAAATAACAGATAGAAGAATGTGGGCCTGATTTCGACACAAGCCGAGAGTGGGTCTCTTCTAACGTAAACACAACTGCTATAATCCCTCTGCAAACAGGAAAGATTAAAAATGTTGGCACATGCCAAGATCTCATAACAGTAGCAATTGTGTTATGTCATTTATTTATAAACATATTTATTGGTATCCTCAATTGCAATAGTGATTCATAATGTATTTATAAACTGAATACCAAAGAAATAGTGTTTACCAATAATTTAGAAGTTTCCAATTTAATTAGGAAGAAGGGGTGGGGCGCTGGATGAATTTGGTAAATATTTTGTTCACCTTACACTTAATTATTAATATTTCACAATTTTTTTTTCAAAATCTCCCTCTTTTCAAATGAGTAACCAGTATTCAGAAATTATACCCTTAATAAATGTGTTCAAATGTTCCAATATCTGCTATTGAGAAGCCTAAACAGGTGGTGTTATTGATCATATTTTTGTGGAAGTTTCTTATTGAACTACTAGAAAATGTGTACATGTACACCTACACCTACACCTACATGTAAATGCCTAACATGTCTGGTTAACATTTTTTTTTTCTTTTATAAGGTTTTGTACCCCATAGGTTACCAGTTTATACAGTGTTCAGTTTAGACGGTTTTATAGCTTAGACTGGTTTCCTGTTTACACAGTTTCAGTTTACTCAGGTTT